TTTGTTCATAAAAACCAATAAACAGAGATGTAATTACTCACAGGTAAGTACAACTTTCATGATCAGGCACAGGCATTTGAACTACAAATGCATTATTCATGTTACAAACTACTTAATTTCTCCTGCCAGATTAATTATTCATAACATCTACTTCCCCATGTCTACTGAAACAATGCCTCAAAATAAGAGTGTTACTGAGTTCAAACTGTTAGGATTGACACAGGATCCTATGAAGCAGAAAATGGTGTTCATAATATTCTTAGTTGTCTACACTGGAACTGTGGTGGGAAATTTGCTCATTATTGTGACCATCAAGTTCAGTCGATCTCTAGGGAGTCCCATGTATTTCTTTCTGTTTTATTTATCCTTGGCTGATATCTGCTTTTCAACTAGCATCACCCCGAAACTCCTTGCAGATGCTCTCTCTGCAAAGAAAGTCATATCCTACAATGAGTGCATGACTCAAGTCTTTGCACTGCATTTATTTGGCTGCATGGAGATCTTTGTCCTCATCCTCATGGCTGCTGATCGCTATGTGGCCATCTGTAAGCCTCTGCATTACCCGACTATCATGAGAAGACAGGTCTGCATCATCTTGATTATTCTTGCCTGGATAGGATCTTTTATGCATTCTAGTACTCAGATTGTCCTGGCCTTGAAACTGCCCTTCTGTGGACCCAATTTGATTGATCATTATTGCTGTGATCTTCAGCCCTTGTTGAAACTTGCCTGTATGGACACTTACGTGATCAACCTCCTATTAGTGACCAACAGTGGGGCCATTTGCTTAAGCAGTTTCTTGCTTCTGATGATGTCATACTTTGTCATCCTGCACTCCCTGCGAAATCACAGTGCAGAAGGGAGGAAAAAAGCCCTCTCAACTTGTACCTCTCACATCATTGTGGTCATTCTATCCTTAGGTCCCTGTATATTCATGTATACACGTCCACCAATCACTTTTCCCATGGACAAATTGGTGGAATTGTTTTATACCATTTGTACACCTTTTCTCAACCCACTCATCTATACCTTAAGGAATGCAGAAGTAAAGAATGCCGTGAGAAAGCTATGGCGTTTCAAAATTGGCTCAGAAAGCAAATGATGAAATGAGGATATGATGACATATTCAACATAGAATTGAATCTGGACAGACATCAAATATAATTGTCTGTTTTATTGTACTATAGTCAATCTATACAAAATGGTAATTGTTTTAATTGTTGACAATACAAATGTCTAGCATTTTATGTCAGAGTTCGATACAGTGCCAGAATAAGTAATATCATTATGGACAAATGTGACATCACTTTGGCTCAATCTTTTCCTGAAACCTCAATTATGCCATTGCTGGCCATGAACAATACATTATAACTCAGAATCTGTACTCTTTGTTAAGTAGTACTTTATACAGTCACAGCCAGGCAAACTTGGGAGAATCCATAAATGAGGGCATCTAATTCTCTATAATTATTCATTCTTTTAAAAATACATTTTAAAAAATCTATTTTGACACCTGAAGGTCAATTGAACTCAATGTGTTAGATCTTTCTTTCTATTTTATCAGTGATTTATGCTTGAATATTTCCATGTTTGTGAATCAGAGACGTTTTTGCATAATATTCTAAAATAATTATTTCCCACTATTACCTTTGATATTAAAAAAATAAAAGATGTTGAATGTGAATGCATTTTAGAAATAGTTCTGACTCAAAGATAAACAAGAATATTTAAGATTATTTTTAAAAGTTCCTTAAAATAGAACACATGTATTTCATCTTAGGTATCATCTGTCATCTCTCTTTTTGTGAAGGAAAAGTCATTGTGAAGAGCACATTATTAACTTTTGTGACAAGTGAGTATAGGTTATTGAACTATCTATATGGGACCAAATTAAGAATAGCAACTAGAAAGAGTGCATCAGAAATTTAGGGTCCAGTGGGATTAGGAATATGGTGGAAGAACAATTAGGAAAAGGAGAATGAGAATGGTTGCATGATTTAAAGAATATAACAGTGTATGCATGTGAAATTCTGGAATCAGTATGTGGTTGTCTGTGTATACTCCTATTCTTGACAATAACAAAGTAACATATAACAAATCAATGTCTTTGATGCTCAAATGAATCATGCCCGCGATGTATTTCTATGTATATCTCTACCACATCACTAGTCTTATGTCCATAATAATGGTCTAGTGTTTTTATGAACCTTAAAAAAGTTCTTAACCATTTTAAGATGAGTAGATAGCCTCATCTTTCTCCCTAGAAATGACGGGTACAGACTACTGTCATTCTGTGAAGTTAGCAGCAGCTCAAGGTCAATCCACTATGGGACCAAGGTTCCTGACCCAAGCCTATGTGTTTCTTTTATTCGGTTTCTATGTGCTTGACTGAAATGAAGAAGCCTAAAATCCAAGGCCTTTGCTGTTATCTTGGATAGCCCCGAGTCTTTGAAAGCAGGTTTGTCCAGTGGTCCTTGTGGTACATACATTATAGTTTGTGGGACATTTATAATAAAATTATCAGAGCACAAAATAAAACAATACCATGTGTGCAATTTTAGATAAAATGTTGTCTAAGTGATTTTTAGTACAATCAAATGTATCTGGTAAAATATTATATCTGCATAGAGAAAAATAGAATGCCTATTTGAATTAGATGTTCCTTGGAAATATCTGGGTTATGTTATGACCTTCTCATATGTAACTCCCAGATCTTAAAGTAGATGCAAAGAAAGTCTAAGCATAATGAAAAACAAATCCAGTGCCATCAAGTTCATTCTGACGCACAGTGACTATAGGACAGAAGAGAGCTGCCCCAGAGTGTTTCTGAGAGGGTGAATCCTTAAAGAAGGGAAAACCACTCATCTTGTGTCCTTTTATGCCACAAGAGCACCTCAGAGTCTCTAAATTATTCCAATCGGGAATTGCCCAGACCTAGATGTAGAGCTGAAGAAATGGGTAAAGGAAGCAGCATCACTGCTCTATGAAGTCATGTAGAAGAACTGTCTCACTCGCAATCTGATATGGCTTTCAGCCTCTCCTGCTGTCTTCATTCATGGCTTCTACACTTCCTCCAGCCGGTGATTACTCACCATCCTGCAGTTCCAACGATGAACCCATGCCGATGCATTCTCATAGGGTATATCACACTATTCTTTTAATCAAAATGCTATTCCTTTAGTAACTTTCAGTATCTAATAACATTGTGCACTAAAGAATAGAATTTCTTAAATTACACAGTAAACTCATTAGCTGAGGAAAACAACAGATTGGTTTCTTCGAACATTTATTGAAAGGGTATGTCTACAGAAGAGGCATTGTGCTAAGAAAATACTAGAAAGAAAGCCTAGCAAGCAATTGTTGTTCAGAGATTTTCTTCATTGAGTTAATGTAGAATTTCATCATATATTCTCCAAATTCAGTTTATGTCCTCTTCCAATTAAAATTCAATATCAAAGAAAAGCATGATAATTCTGCTGCTGGCATTCCCTGATGCAATTGATTCCTTTCTTAACTTCTCTAGATCTCCAAGTCCTCAACCACAATAATCACTAACTACCCTCTCCCCCCATACACACAAAGCATGCTTCTTTTATTTACATAAAAATACTACACAATGCTTATTGCCTCAGTGACTAATGGTGAATCTTTCTCTTTTCTTAATTAATCGTTTTACTGTGAGGCTCTTATAACAATTCATCATTCACTTGTACATATGCTGCCATCAGAATTTCCAAAATATATATTTTCTTTCGACTTGAGAACTTAGCATCAGCTCCTCTTTTTCCCCCTCCCTCCCTGATATTCCCACCCTCTTGTATATATATTATTATGGTTATTTTTATACCGTATACTGTCTGTTGTCTCCTTCACCCACATCTCTGTTATACGTCCCCCTTGGGGGGGGTCTATATATCCAACCGTGTGATGTGTTCCCCCATTCTCCTCACCTCCCCATCACATTTCCCTACCCTGTATTACTACTCCCACTACTGTTCCTGAGGGTTTTTATCTGTCTTGAATTCCATGTCTCGAGAGCTCTTATCTGTACCAAAGTGC